GGGTGTGCTCCACTCCAGCTCCTTGGAGCATTTGGTAAGGCCTTTGGTCTTACATTCTGGAGGCACCGCTCGGATCCCCGGGTGTGCTTCACTATAGTCAGCTCCTCAGAGCTTTTGGTAAAGACAGCGGTCTTACAAAACAAACAAACACACATGTAGCCAATTTAGCACTAATTCACAGGCTTGTGCAACTAGGGGCAGTTTATCATATTAACTAAGAACACAGGCTTTGCAGCCAAGTAGACCTAGGCTGGAGCTTGAAGTCTATTACTTTCTACCTTGGACAAGTAAAGTGAAATGTTACTTTCTAATGGAGTTGTCAAAAATGTATCAAAGTATACTATGTCTTTTCCAGTAGGCTCAGAATTTCAGTTTAAGCCTCAAAATTGAGAAGAATGGGCCATAAACCCCTCTAAAACTCTTAAGTTTATGGCAAAAGCGCAAACAGATGTCATCTGAGCTCAAGGGTTTGCTAGGGAAGACCAGACAAGTCCTTTGATCCTCATCTTGCCCAGGCTACATAAAAAAGACAGGAGATCTCTGAGAGGGAGGAAAGTTGTTTTTTCAGTTTAGTAGAAATGTTTCCTTTCCTCCCTGTGAGGAGCCAACTCTTGTCCCCTAAGCCAAGCGAGAGGGAATCAGTCCTACAGAGAATCAATCCTAGAGACTGGGTGTGGCTCCCAGAAGGAGATACTGGTATGTTAGTCCCCTGCCCAAGACACACCGAGCTGCAGAAACTCACAGGCCTACACAGTGCACTGAGGCAGTGGGGACAGGAGGGTAAGAACGCTTGCACAAATCTGAAATGTGTCCCTAGCAGTTTCAATCTGCACTTGAAGACAGAGGGAGTTGCTTATTCCCATCTTGGGAATTTAAAAGCTAGGAGACTGGCTACACTGGCCAATGAGGATTGAGCAAGCAAAAAGGGCAGCAGTGGAAAAGCATGATTTCTAACCCGGCATGGGGGCATATGCCTGTGACCCCAACACTCTGGGAGGCTGAGGCAGGAAATCACAAGTCTGGGTCCAGCCTGGGCAACTCAGCAACTTCATGAGACTTTGTCTCAAAATTTAAAAAATAAAAAAGGGCTGGGGATGTATCTCAGTATGAAGCCCCTGGATTCAACCCTCTTCTACTCCATGTTTCCTTTGGATTAAGCAGATGCTGCAGGAGACTGCTGGATCCCAACAGGGACCCCAACAGGAAGAATACGCAGAGTAGTATGCTGGAACAAGAACTAGAGCAGGGGACCAATTCCACAAAAAGCCAGATGCCCACAACAGGGACAGAAATCTTTATGGGACTTCCAAACAACTGACAAACAGACCCTGAGAAAAACAGCACCCACTAGGATAGTGGATATGGCACACAGAGGGCATCAATGGACAGCAGCCCTCGTTACATACACAGCTCGACCCTTCTTCCCAACACAATGCAGGAGGAAAGAAAGTCAGAAACAAGAGTGAGGAGAGGAGGAGGTGGACAAGAAGCAAAACAATGCCTGTACCTCCACTCCACATCAGAGAGAGAGAGATCAGAAACTGGGAGACTGAAGGTTTAAACTGGATTGTACTTTCAAATGCACAGACTTGAATTGTGATGACCAATATATAATTTATTTTTATAAAATAAGCAATATATAGAAAATATCATTGAAGGAAAGAGAAGGGAAAAGATGACTCATGTTTGAAGACAATGGAAGGAACAAAACCATTTTCTGTTTGCTTTCCTATCATACCCCACTGTACAGTTATGAGAAGATCAAGTGAAAGGATACCTGTGAGGAGCTTCAGGTATTATCTAGCACTAGTAAAAACTTCATTAAAGTTCAAAGCTGGCTATGATCATTCAAAAACTGAGTCCGTACTTTCTTGTATTCAGACCGCTATTTCTAGCCATTGCTCTACGAAGTATATATTCTAATTAGTGCTTAGTTTGGCTAATTCTCACTAACAATCAACATAGTACAATATATATGGCTGTGTGGGCAGTGTGTGTGTGTGTGTGTGTGTGTGTGTGGTATTGTGGACTGAACCCAATGGTATTCTACAACTAAGGAACATTCATAGCCCTTTTGATTTTTTCATTTGAAATAGAGTTGTCCAGCTGGCCTGAATCTTGTGATCTTCCTGCCCCAGCCTCCCAAGCAGCTGGGATTATAGATGTGTGTCACTGTGCCCAGTAGCAATTTGGTTCTTTTTCTAAGAAACTGTTTAAAAGATTTATTAACCAATGGTTTACCTTAATTATCAGAAAATAATAAACTTACTGATGCTATTTTTTTTGGTACCGGGGTTCAAATTCAGGTCCTTGTGCTTTCGAGGCAGGTGGCAGAACCACTGAGCTAAATCCCCAGCCCTACTTACTGATGCTTTTATAAATTCTGAAGACCATTTAAAAATTCCATGTAAAAGTGCCTATGAGTTACACATTTCCAGGACAAAGTCTGACTGAAAGGCACAAGAATTAAGCCTTACTTCTAACTAGCCATACAGGTGCTCTAGAAAAACATGGTAATAACGAGGTAAATTCTCCTGGATAAATGACCCATGTTCTTCAACAAATAAATGGCATGAGAAAAAAGGGGTGAAAGGAGTACTACTAAACTGAGAGGCAATGCAATGTATGCTCTACCTCTGATCCCCATTGGTACAAAACAGTACAAAGATCTTTTAAAGATAATCTGGCGAGACCATACAGACTATCAGGTAAGACTACAAAATTGTTAGGTAGGAAAACAGTATTATGTGTTTAAAAAGTCTATTTGAGGTATATACTTAAGTATTTAAGGGTGGTGTAATAAGATGTCTCAAATTTCCTTTAAAATGGTGTAGAAAACCAGGTGTATGTATCTATTTTGGATGGGTGAGGGGCGAGCAGTGAGGAGAAAAAAGAACAAGCTCTGAGGGGGTGGGTGGAGATTTACTACTTTCTCCATTTTTACGTTCCTTTGAAATTTTAAAATACAGCACTAAAGGAGAAAGCATGAGCTGAAGTGGATGTTTTATGCTTTTTAAAAAAATCTGTTATTAATTTTAACCTTATTCTCACCTCAGAATCTACTTTTTAGCAAAATCCCAGGCTTTCTTCATTATGGTGAACTGTCTCTTGTGAACTGGCCGACTGGTTTCGTGGGCCTGCTATTAGCCAATCACAGAGGGCCAAGGCACAAAGGTACGAGAACCTTGGAGTAGTTCCTCTAACGTCCCCATTTTAAAGACGAAGAAACTGAGACACTGTCAAGCTCATCCGCTTGGTTAGAGTACAATTTAGCCAGTAGGTGAGACAGGGATGGATGGATGGATGGATGGATGGATGGATGGATGGATGGATGGATATCCCAAGGAAACTGTGCAAACATGGCAAGGCGGGATTGCTCTTGATTTAGAAACGCGCATTTTCCTTCTCTTGGATGTAAGCACTATTAACACAAAATGACTCCCAGGTGCGGCCGGCCCTGGGAGAGCGGAGGTGAGGTCCAGTCAGCACAGCCCGCAGGCTAGTCCTTCCTTGCTTCGCACAGCGCCCCCGCCCGGCCAGAGCCTGCGCAGAGAAAGCGGGAAAACGCGCGAGACGCGGCGCCAGCGCTGCCGGGCGCGCGCACTCACGCACAGCGCGCACTCCGCTCCGTCCGCGTTCGGTTTGCGCTGGGCGTGCGGAAGATGCTCACCCGAACTCCAGGTGACCCCCAGGAAGCTGGAAGCTGCCGGCTCCAAACGACCCTTTCCTCTTCCCCAGCAGGACGCAGCGGGGATGCCTGCAGCTGGTCACCACGACGCCGACCCCGACACCGGGCCGTCGCCCCCGGGGCTCGGCGCTAGCGGTCATCGCGCGAGCGCCGCCCTGCCGCGGCAGGAAATGACGTGGGTCCTGCCCTCGGCAGCCTCCAGTCCTCCCAGAGCGGCTGCACCGGCCCGCGCGCGAGCCTCTCGCCCCTGCCGAGCTGTCTGTCAGCCGGTGAAGCGTCTGGAGTCCTCCCGAAGGACAGCGTGACTGGAATTGCGTTTTAACTACGAGCACTTGCTGAGCACGTTCAACACTCACCTGTCCCCTCCCAGATCCCTCCAGACCACGCACCAGTCACTTGCTTTTATGAACTTCTGTATCACCGCATTTTTTTTTTCTTTTTTCCCCTGTAATGTTCTTCTACACCACAGTGAACTCATTCTTACTATAGATCAAATCAGTGAGGTACCAGGGCAAGCGCAGATAGTGTAGAAACATCCACTATAAATAGCTGTGAGTGAAGAATACCCGCAACTTTGGAGAGTAAATAAGAACTAATCAATAAACTGCCAGGACAAGTTACTTATTTGAGAAGAAATCACACCACTGCCAATATTGCACACCATAACCCAAATTAAAAAACTATGGGCCGGGGATTTAGCTCAGTGGTTTCGCTGCCTGCTGCGCAAGCGCAAGGACCCGAATTCGATCCCCGGTACCAAAAAATAAAAAACCCAAAAGGAAACACAAAAGGAAAAATTCCAGCTAAATCAAAGAAATGTCAGTAAAACGAACAAGATCAAATAAATGAACAATCTTGGGAGGGCTTTGTGTTTAAATTTTTTTTAATCCTATTAATGATTGTGGGTCAGAAGACTCTATTGTCTTTTCATTCTCTTAAATAACATCTTAGTTTGGGCCGTTACAACAAAATACTATAGATTTTGTGGCTTAACAGTCTGGGGAATCCAAAATCAACATGTCCAAAGATTTGGTTGCCAGTGAGGGCTTTCTTCCTGTTTTGCAGATAGCCTCTTTCTGTGTCCTCATTGGTGGGATGGGGAATCTCTTTATTAGGGGCACTAATCCTGTTAAGACTCATGACCTTATGAGCTCAGCCTCAATTTGGAAAGAGAGCAGTTCCACCCATAGCAGTTTCTTTCAACAAGAACCAATTTTTTAATTTAGTTGAAGTCCAAATTATTAGTTTTTCTTTTATGGATCATGCTTTTGGTGTCATATCTAAGAAATATGCCTAACCATAACCCAAGATCACAAAGACTTTCTCTAGAAATTTTTATACTGTTAGGTGTTTTCATTTAAAACCACTATCTATTTTGAGTTAATTTTCATATATGGCCCCAGGTGTATGTGGACCCTTTCTTTGGTGTGAATCCTCAAATTTTCTCTTGGCATTTCCACTTAAATTTTAGACTCAGCCCATCAATTTATACTGGGAAAAAAATCTTCTGATATTTTTATTGAGAGTGTAATGAAAAGACAAGCTATAGAATTCAAGAAAATATTTGCAGAGCACGTGTCTCATGAAGGATCTAGATAGATAAAGAATCTTCAAAACTCAATCATAAAGCAAACAACCTGAAAAAAAATGTCCAAACATGTTGAATAACTATTTTTATCTGAAAGAGATATGGCAAATATGCACATGAAAAGGTGCTAAACATCATGAATTGTTAGGAAAATGGAAATTTAAACCACACTATCACTGTACATATGTATTAGAATGAATATGATGAGAACACATACAATTTGGCAACACCAAGTGCTGGTGAGGATATAGGGCAGATAGATAAGAATTCTTATGTATTGTTTAAGGGAATAGAAAATGGAAAACTAATTGCTGTTTATAAAACATTATAAGCACTGGGGATGTAGCTCAGGGGCACCATGCCTGCCTGGCAAGCGTGAGGTCCTGATATTGATTCCTGGTACTGGAAACAAAATAAAAACATATAGTTTTCATAAAACATTAAGTATGTGTTTATCATAAGACTCATCAGTCCTACTGCTAGATATTACCTGAGACAAATGAAAGCTTATGTTTATATAAAGATCTGTATGGAACTATTATAGTGGTTTTATTCATAATCATCAAAAACTGCAAATAAATATTCTTCTACAGGTGAATGAATAAATCAACTGTAATACAGTCATAAACAGAACATTACTCAGCAATATAAAGGAACACATTTCAAATAACTTCAACATGGATGCCAAGTGAAAGAAGTCAGATGTAAAAGCCTGGATGCTAAATGATTCCATTCATATGACATTCTAGAATAGGCCAAACTCTACACACAGAATAAAGATCAGTGTTTGTTTGGGACTCGGGGTACAGGGAAGAGTTGACTGCAAAAGGACGTGGAGACTTTCTTGGGTGAGTGAATGGCTCTGTATGTTGATTATGGTGGTGGTGACTATGTGTTTGTAACTCATAGGGCTGTATACTTAAAAGAGTGAATTTTACTATATGTGTATTAAACCTTAGTACAGCTGACAGTTTATTTATTTATTTATTTTTATTTTTTTTGGTACTGGGGATCGAACTCAGGTCCTTGCACCTGCGCAGCAGGCAGCAAAACCACTGAGCTAAATCCCCAGCCCTAGCTGACAGTTTTTAAAAAGCCAAAATAGAAAAATGCAATGTGTATTTACAGAAAGGAAAGGTCAAAATGCAGTTAAGCAGTGAAGAGCACCAAGGCAGTGCACAACTAAACTGCTCTACTTAATATCAAAAGCTGTGATCAAAAGTTGTGAAGATTATATTTTTAGAGAGGCTAACATTAGGCTGGCGTTATGGGGAGGCAGTGTTCTTCTCTCACTGGACTTTGGAGGACTCGGGGGCCCAGTGATGGACATGGCCAGGATCAATCCCGTTAAAGAGATTTAATAGGATTTTAGGCTGTCCCTAAAACCGAGTAAGAATTTAGAGGATAAAAAAAGGTGGGAGGGGCCGGAGATTTAGCTCAGTGGTTTCGCCGCCTGTTGCGCAAGCGCGAGTACCCGAGATCGATCCCCGGTACCAAAAAAAAAAAAAAAAAAAAAAAAAAGTGAGAGGTGAAGTCAGAGATATTTGGTATAAGTCACATTTTGTAGTCTGTTTTAAGTTTTCCTTTATTGTACTGTAGTTCTATTTTACTATCCCCAAGCCTGCAGCAAAGTGTAGCTACATGTTACAGCCTGGTATTAACTGTGCTTTGAAGAATTGTATGTGGGTCTGCCTTCACATAATGGAACAACCAAAAAAAGAGCATCAGCTTAGAGAAGCCTTGAGGTCAAGAAGGCGATCTTTGATCTCAGTACCCTTGGTACCTAAATAGCAACTAACGTATGGGTGCTTTATAAGTGAACACTTCAATGAAAGCTGCTCCCTTCTATATCAGTGTAACAAAATAGTTTCAATGTATTTACACAAACTAGAACATGATTTTTCCTGGAAACTTTATGATATATTTAAAACCTTATGAGCTATCTATATCTATATCTGTATCTATATATCACATGAAGCACAGGAGGTTATGAAGGCAAAAAGACACCGAGTTGACGTTTATGAATCAGATAAGAGAAATACAAATCAACCCACTTAGATCTTACGCTGATTGGAGAATCCACATATCACATTCACTTCTGCAGATTCCCAACCAGTTCAACAAAATGTACCAGTAGCTATTGCAACAGTAGAGCCTGACATAGCTTTGTAAGACTATGTCTCCTTCCTAGTTCATCCACATTTCCTGCTGGAAGGTAGGGAACCCAGACGCATAAGTCCTCTTCTGCCCAACTACAGAACTTTTCCAAGAATGCAGCCTTTTCCTCTCTTCCTCCAACCACTTCACACAGAAACATTATACTAATCAATCTGGAAGATGCTGGGATTCCCATCAAGCTGGCTATTTTGTCCTGCTTAATATATCCTTATTTTGATGACAGTTTATTTATTTGATGGATTTTCCATATCTCTTCTATTTATCTATTAAGTCAGCTTTTAACCTAAAACTTACCTGATCTCACTTCACAATTTACAGTAAAGCTGAATATATCCCTAACAATTGATTATGAATAGGTCTTCCTTTATATTCTTGAAAAATACCTAATAGTTGGAGAATAAGATGAAGTGGTGCCATTAACTGCTCCCTTCACCTATAATGCCTTCTCAGGAGCTTATTTGAGAGAGAGCCCACTGCAGTGGAGTCCATTCCTTCAATACACCCTTCCTTTAATCCATCCAGCAAAACTGTGCTGATTGGATGTGTGTGGTTCTTTTCCGATTTAAGCCTCTGGTTTGAATTCATCTAGTTTCCGTTTCCTCTTTCCTCTTGGCAGTTCCTATGTATGACATTTGAAGCTCCATGTACTCAAAACCTATTTTAAAGTTTTATGTAGTACTGTATGGTACTTATCATAGTCAAATCACAAATTTAAACCACACTGCCTCTCAGATATCCAAAGAAAATTCTCTCCCTCCCTCCCTCCCTCCTTTCCTCTCTCTCCACCCCAACACTCTATCACTGGTTGGGATGTGGGTCTATGTAGAATTAATTAAATGTTCAACATGGTTCTATTTGGACTAATCCAACAATTTACTCAGTCCCTTTAGATTGTGTTCAGTCTGTCTTGGTTGAATGTCCAGTCAGCTTTCTTCCTAGTGTGCATCTTTACTTAAGATGTCCCATGTGTATGAAGCTTATGTTGTGACTCATTCCACACTGTATCTTTGGGAAGACAGAGTCTTTGAATTCATGTGGACTCAGCATGGTGACAACGGACTAGCAAGAGATCAGAAGAGTTTGCCCACAGGAACCTTCTCCTCCCAACCCTCCTAGAGCCTGCCCAGGCTCCCAACCATACCATGTTGTCAAGTTAGTTCTGGTACAGATTTTTCTGGGTGATCTCAGTCTAAAATAGGAAGGGTGAAAGGCTGGGGAAGAGCAAAAGTATCTTTCTCTGCCTACTTTGTCCTCACTTATCTAATGTATTTTCTTTCTTCAGGATGAAAATCAAAGAGAAGAAAAACTGACATTTCACTCACTTTCTTCTCTATTAACCACTATCCTTATGGGACAGAAAGGAGATGGTTTGCCTCCATTCATTCTTTAAAATCTATAGTTTAGCTGGGTGTGGTGATACCCACGTCTAATCTCAGCACTCTGGGAGGCTGAGGTAGGAGGATCATAATTTCTAGCATAGCCTGGGGAACTTAGTGACTTAGTAAAATGGTGAATCAAAATTAAAAAGTGTAAAAATAGGGCCTGGAGATTTAGCTGCCTGCCTTGCAAATGCAAGGTCCCGAGTTTGATCCCTGATACCGCCCCCCCCAAAAGTGTAAAAATAAAATGCAACAGGAGCAACATTATGTAGCTCAGTGTGAAGACCCTAGGTTCAATCTCTAGTAACACACACAATAATTATGGTCTAGCATTAGTCTTTCTTATTCTTAAAGGAGAGACACCAAGGTCTGATGTTCAAGCATATTACCTTGCTACACGAATTTATTTTGAGTGTTAGAAATGAAGTATTACACTAATCTGTCTTGGTATTTTTTTCTATATCATATGTAAATCTTCCCTCATTAACATATTAGTTGGATATTAGCTGGTGGTTAATTAAAGATTCCATTAGCCACACTCTTCTCTACTCCTTCCATTGAGAAAGAGTTTAACTTCCCTTCTTTTCAATCTGAGCTACTCATAGTGATGTTCTTGACTAATAGAATGTGACAGAAGTCACAGTATGTGACTTTCCAGGCTACAACTATAAACAGAGTTACTAACGCAGTAATTTGCCAAGGTTCCGAAAAGAACTAACCAACCAAA